CTGCGCCCCACACATAATAATCAAGAGGGTTTCAGTCTGGGGAATTAAGTGACCAGATATAAGGGGTGTTGTGTTCGTAGAAATCTTTCTACTTGCGTGGCATAGTGTAATATCTACTCCACATTTTCTGACAATTTCCACATATTTGTGTTCTTTTGCTTTTGTAATAATGTTTTAAATTTTAAAAAATATATTATGGTCACCCTGTATTTCAAACGAGCAACTAACTGTAGTGTTCAGAATCAAAATAAAAAGTATCCAATTCTATATCGATGTTAATGGGCGCTATTTTCGACATTTTTTATCATTTTCATTCCTATTCTCCTCTTATATTCTATATTGAAACATACCTGTTAATAAAAATATGACTTCCCGAACACATTATTGAACTAGAAGTAAACGTTTCCAAACTGAAATTAGGATCTGGGCTTGAAATAAAAGTTGTGTATCTATACTCAATCAATCATAAGAATTCTGGATTTGGATTTAGTAAATTCCAAGCACTTCAAATAATTCTTTGTATGGATGAATTATAACAATTTTATTATAGCATTGAATAAATAGAAGATTGAATATGGAATAGGCTTAATAGTCTCGTCCACAAAATAGCGTCGAGATATAATCTCGTCCATTTCTTAATAGTAGTCTCGTCCAATTCAAAATAGTCTCGTCCAATTCGTCGTTTCAATTCGTTATAATCTCGTTCAATTCGTAATAGTCTCGTTCAATTTGTAAGAGTCTCGTCCATTTCCTAATAGTCTCGTTCAATTCGAAATAGTGTCGTTGAATTCGTAAATTGCTACAGAACCAGATCACTAAATTGAAATTAAACCCCTGCACATATAAAATAATTGCAACTGACAACGGTGTTCAGAACCAAAATAAGAAGAATCCAAGCCTAAATTGATTCTAATTGGTGCCACTTTCGACTGTTGACAATTTATTCCTATTCTTCTCACGGATTCTCTGTTGAAACATGTCTGTTAATAAAAATGAGTGCATACTGATTTTCCGAACACCTCGTTGAACTAAAATTAAACGTTCTCTCTGTTATATGCCGTGTCAGTTGAGGACATAGACGATCACGGCCCTCCACATCCTCCTATCCCTTGTGGTATTAATCAGACCAAAATTATGATCTAGGATTGGAACAAGATTCGTGATAGCATATGAATTGAATCCATCGTAAGATTTCTGGATGTGTATTTAGTAAACACTTCAAATATTTCTTTGGATAAACTATCACAATTTTAGTATAGTACGAAAAGAACTTGAACATAGAGTAGAACATTGATTTGAAAAACACGAGTCATATTCTTAAATCGCCTCTTCAGATCTAGCCATTCATTTCGATGTTTTGTATATTTAAACTGTCTGTTTAAAATTGTTTTGACCGAGTTAAAACTATGGATCTTGGTGTCTGTCTGCATTTCTGACATGAGGTATTATGTACACTATTTACATTATTCGGACTATCGTCCTTATCTTTGTTGCTATATTTATCACAACGTTTCGTCCGTTGTACGTTCCGGCCTTCTTCAGGTGGTTGGAATGTCGAACTGAACCCTTTATTTCGCTCGCTGGGGTTAGACTGTTCTAGTTCCTGATGCCATGTCTAATGGATGTCAGTTATCAGTTATCTCCTGTTAATTGCCGTCTTCAAGTTCTCCACTGCCTGATTAAGGTATTGAACTCACACTCTTTGGATCTTGGTGATATTAGATTTAGTCGAAACGTGTGGACTGGCGGTACAGAATCACAAATGAAGAATTTACCAAACTAACAGAAACTTGATTTCTTTAATACTTCCAATTTTTATTATCTCTACCAAGAGTTGTAAGAAAAAAAAAACAGTGTTCGGAATGTTATTGTGCCATTTTCTAATCCTATTTTTTTTTTTTCAGACTTTATCTCAATGTGGTTTTAACTGCTCAAGAACGTGTATTTCTCGTCGAACACGTATCTCGAAAAGGTGGTTGTTACACAGATTTGTTGTGACATCGTTTTCAGATACAGCTGTACAACATCGGAACGTAGTTCCTAACTTTGTTGATACATTTCGGATAACAGGATTAGTGAACGATGCCAAACGTTGTCGAAGTCCAGCAAGGCTATCAGAAAAGAAACTGTTTGATATTTCTCGTGTCATATTCTTAAAAAGCCTCGAAATTGTCATATAGATGCCATCCATGGCTGCAGACCCATTTAGAAATATCTAAACTGTTAGCTGAATAGAAGCTTTTTCTCAAATCCCGGGTTAATAATGGCTTTCAGCGAATAATGTCTGTGGACCTTGGCGTGGACCACCCTTTTTGAACTGAAGAATCACTGAAAAAGAACTATAGCAGATCGCAGAAAACACATTCCTTGAAGACTTCCTGCAGTAGCAACAATTAAAAGTGATATGCACATGTAAATCGAAGAAAAAAAAACATTGACATAATGAAGATTTTGATGATCAAATAAGAGGTGAGGAAGGAAATTACTCATCAAAACTGGAAGAAAAATAACAGATACTGGGTTTGAGAAACTTATTTTTTAAGAGAAAGATTTTACAAATTTTTTAAGAGAAAGATTTTACAAATTTCAGTGAACTGTTCCTCGTTTAATGAATGTCTAATTTTTACTTAAAAGGAAACTGCTAATATTACAATATTACCAAATGACTGATCGTCCTGGGTACGACGTTAAACTGCATCCAACAGCAAGGCCTCTGATCAGGAGGTTTTGTGGAACCACCTCTTAATTTCTGATGTTCCCAGGTCCACCCTGACCCGGTGTGGTAGCACCTGTCAGGGTCCCAGCTATGGGCAAATAGTGAACTCCTAGTCTAGCCCGCGTCCTGGGTATGACGATAAACTACATCCGAGTCCATGGGTATGGCGGTAAACTGCATCCGCGTCCTGGGTATGGCGATAAGCTACATCCACATATTAGGTATGGCGATAAATTACGTCCAACAGAAAGACCGTTTTTGAAAAATTAAGGTTGTCGGCTATACGGTTTTGGAAAAGTAGTATTACCAGCTATACGTTTTCGAAGGAATAAAAATATTGCCAGCAGTGTGTTTTTGAAAAATGATATTACAAGCTATACGTTTTTGAAAAAAATGATATTACCAGCCATACGTTTTTGAAAAAATGATATTACCAGCCATACGTTTTTGAAAAAATGATATTACCAGCCATACGTTTTTTTGGATTAATAATATTCCCAGCTGTACGTTTTTGGAAAAATAATATTACTAGCTCTACTTTTTTGAAAAACAATATTCCCAGCTATACGTTTAAAAAAAGAAAAATATTACCAGCTATATGTCATTTAAAAAAATCTTATTCAATGGAATTGTAACTAGGGGTCAAAACACTGAAAGGATGATGTTTTTTTTTTTTAAAAAAGAAAATAAAAATAATGTTGCCAGCTATACGTTTTTGAAAAAAAATAATGTTGCCAGCTGTGGGTTTTTTTTAAAAAAAATGTTGCCAGCTATACGTTTTTGAAAGAAATAATATTGCAAGCTATACCAAAATCATTTTCGGCATAAAGTGACCACTAAGGTTGGAATACCGTTAAACAAAAGAAAGAAACAAACAAATCAAATGTTTGATGTATTTTAACGGCGTTAGATATTTCTATCCTCTTTATATTTTATCATAAGAATACATTCTAGCAATAAAGTGAAACGATGATTTTCATTAATAAGAAATCATAGTTTGTCTGAATAGATGGTAGCGACACAAAACGCTGGCCTTTGCATAAAGTGGAAGAAATAAAAATAGAGATCAAATAAGACCGTCTGCGAACCGTTCGTCTGCTTCCAGCTGTAGAGGTCGTGATGTTTCCCATTCCTAACACTTCTGGAAGAGTCAACAAAATAAATAGCTCTTGATATTTCTGTTCTTTAGTTACCTTGCCATCAGCGTATTGGTGCAACTCGCACGTTAGTAGGTCGTTGGTCAGTCGAAAGAAAAATGCTTTATTTCTAGTTCGCCCTTCCTTTCTTTCTATCTCTTTCTCCTTCTTTCTGTTAGTCTTTCTTTTACGGACATGTATTTTTTTTCTCTCGACTGTTCCTATCCCCCGATCTTGTAGTCATTAATCAAAAAAACATCGGAGTCAAGTTTCACGGGGAAAATCCTGACAACTAAATGCAAATGATCAATTTGTTTAAAAATGCAACAAAAAAGTTAGAGTTTTCTTTAAATTATATAAGCCTCTTGAATTAAAACGCCCATTTTATTTCCTTTCTGTGAATGTCCTTTTTTCATTCCTGGCCGATAGGCTGTGAATTGCAAGCGCATATCACATTAAGTGCATGAGAAACTGTTCCTGCAAGCTGTATATAAAAAAAATATACAGGGTGATTAAAAAGTAACTCTCGACTTTAACATACTCATAATTATTAACTAAAATTTTTGCAAGTAATTGATAAAGGAAAGCGTTGATCATGAGGTTTTATTTAAAGTTAGATATAGGCACCAGATTTCATTATCAGCTTCTTGGACCGCCCAGGATTTCACCAGGAATACTTTTGGTATTTAAGACATAACTTCTTGTATTAACTCTTCAAGTTCTTCCAAAATCTTGGTTTGGTATTGTTGAAACTTGACTAATGCATGGAATAATAATGCAACACAAAATGTACTTAGAATAAAACGTATTGAAACAAGAAAGTGTACACAATATTTACATATAGTCTTTTGTATATTCCTGTTAAGACCGTTCCTGGAGAATGTGTTGACTTAGTCGCAGTCGGGCAGAGTCTCTGGATTGAATCTCTTGATTCCTCTCTTCCCGGTACCAACCATATTTATATGGTCGGTACTCCACTATGCAAATTAGGTGGATCCTACCACAACAGGTATAGTCGTCTTGCTCCTTTAACCAACCCTAAAGAAAAATGTCACATGTTAAGTCAAAACTCCTGGCTGGCCACTCATACATAAAATAGAGTGTTACTTTTCAATCACCCTGTATTATTACTGGCTTCCGGACATATAACATTGAGACACTGGTTCTCGTACTATCACAGAAGTTAAGCAACGCCGAGTCTCGTCAGTACCGAGATGGGGGACCGCTCGGGAATGCCAGGTGCTATCAGCTTGGATGTGCATATGATGGATAAGGGCTCGGAATTAGTAATCGGACAGCCAGTTCTCAATTCCACTCGGGTTCGTAATATTCACTTACGACTTGGGAGAGATATCGATACACCGCTACTCCCCCAGCTATGTGTTATTTAGTAGGATGTCTATCAGTAAATAATTATTTTTTTACAAAAATATTCTTACAATCTAAAAATAATTTCTGGCTTTAAATAACCTGAAAGACGATGATGAGCTATAAAAATCAAAGCAGGCTTCAAATCAGTTAATGTTACGGCGCAATTGATCTTAAAAAAGGCTGCTTAATTCATAGCAAATATAATTACTTTTATTAGAATATTCCAGTCGGTATTAATGATGAAATATACAAGATAAAATTGTAATGAACTGAAAGAAGGTGATCTTGTCACGGAGAAAAAATATTTGAAAAAGAAAAGTGCTATTCTAAATGTAGTATTAACAGCAAGAAAAAATGTCTCCAATCATATCAAACTCAAACAAGTACCACAACCTAAATATCTGGGAATTATATTAAAAGATGGCGGAGACTATGGCGTCGAATTCCAAAGCTTCATCGGAATAACGAATGATATCTAAAAAAAATAAACAAATCTAAATAAACAGGAAAAGTCTGTCACAAACAAAGAGTGCTGTAAACTGAAGTATTATTATGATTAGCGTACCCAGATATCTATCTTCTTTATATATCTATAATTCTCAAATTGTATGTGTGTGTGTGTGATCAGATGTTGTTTATTCGTTTCCAGTTTTCATCCGATTTCGATGGAATTTTTTTTGTTTGATAGATAATTATTCAGTGCCGATTTTGGGTTCAAATTCGCTGGAAAAAATTACAACCTTGAAAACTGATGTTTTTTTACACTTTGCACAAGCATCAAAGGCAAAATTTAATGTCTGTAAAAATCAGACTTCAATCAAGTTAGAGAGTTGAAATCTAACGCAAAAGATTATTAGAATTATAAAAATAAAATTATATTATAAATAAAAATTATCGTATATTATTATGACGGTCCATGGAAGAGGTTCCTTCCTTGCAAGATTGAGAACGCAAAAAAGGTCCTTTGTCATGGTCACTCGACCCACTTCAAATTGTTTGACTATGTGCCACAGTTGCACAAATTGTTGTTACTAATATTGATTTTCGGGTGGGCTTAAACGAATTGAACGGCAAATATTCCCAGTAATGAAACACCAGGTCGAAAATGGGTTATACTGCTAGTATATCATACTGTCTATTTACTGATTAAACTAGGTGTCTAAAACTTGATTTACTGCTAATTCGCGATAGATTTCAGAATCTCTTTAAGCGGTAATTAAATATTTACAAGTAAGTTTGCGTATTGACAATAAAAAAAGTTAATCAAATATTAAGCAACAAAAAAGTACTGAAATATTAATATCAGTCCTCTTATACGACAGTGAATGCTGGACAATCTACTCAAAGATGAAGAAGATACTTGAATCAAGAGAAATGTCGTTTTACAAAAGCATGCTGAGAATACCATTGACGGAGCATGTGAGCAACGAGATAGAGCATTTAGATTCCGATGCCCCTTAAGCAGTGATTAAATATTTACAAATAAGATGGGCTGCTGAAAATATTTTGTTACGTGCAAGGTGCTTTTCAAAAGCTAAGCAAATATTAAGAAAATTTGAAGCATCAAAAATGGCAACCTACAAAAGGATGCTGAGAATCCCATAGACAAAGGATGTGAGCAATGAGGAAGATTTGAGAAAAAGGGGAAGGAAAAGAAAACTATATATTTTTTTTATTATTATCTCCCCATTCCCTGTCCTGTTACACAAGGTCATTAAGTAGATTACACCCTGCCCCCCTCCAACTTGCCCTCACTATTTCATTTGTTTCACTCTCCTTCAATGCAGAGGCATCTCTGTTTTCTTAATATATCTTTCCAAATCTTCCTGTCCCTTTCAGCTCGAAGAGAACTTTTGTCTTCCTTTGCTTAATACGTTTAATAGATCAAATGGTGCTTTTAATATTCTTGGGTTCTAATGTTATTTTCCTATCTTTTAATACTTTGCTTAGTTTCTGACGGGCAAGAGGAGATTGTTCAGCACTCACTGCTATATATGAGATTAGATACTACATATCAGTTCAGCACTCTTTTCTTTGTTTCTAACGTCATTTTCCTATCTCTTAATATTTTGCTTACTTTTTGAAAGGCATGAAGACATTATCCAGCATTTCTACCATATAGAAGATTACTGTTACGTAGTTCAGCACTCTTTTCTTTGTTTTTAACGACAATTTTCTATCTCTTATTACTTTGCTTAGTTTCTGAAAGGCATGCGGAGATTATCAATCATTCACTGCAATACAGGAGATTAGATATTACATAGCAGTTCAGCACTTTTTTCTTTGTTTCTCTTGATACTTTACTTAGTTTCTAAAAGGTATGGATACATTATCCAGCATTCTCTACCATATATGAGATTAGATATTACATAGCGGTTCAGCACTCTTTTCTTTGTTTCTAACGAAAATTTCCTAACTCTTAATACTTTCCTTAGTTTCTGAAAGGCATAAAGGGATTGTTCAACATTCACTGGCATAAAAGAGATTAGATATTACATAGCAGTTCAACACTCTTTCTTTGTTTCTAACGACATTTTCCTATCTCATAATAGTTTGCTTAGATTCTGAAACCCTTGAAGACATAGTCTAGTATTCATTATCATATAGGGAATTGGATAGCAGTTCAAAAACATTTTTGCTTCTAGCAATATTTTCATATATCTTGATAATATGATTAGTTTCTGATGACATAGGTGCATTGTGGTGTCTTCCATCCTATATAGAATAGAAAATATTACGTAGCAGTTCAGCAATCTTTTCTTTGTTTTTAATGACATTTTCTATCTCTTTATACTATGCTTAGGTTTTTAAAGGTATGCAGGTATTGTCCAGTATTCACTGCCATATAGGATATTAGATATTACATTAAATTTCAGCACTCATTTTCTTCGTTTCTAACAGATTTTCCTATATCTTAATATATTGCTTAGTTTCCGAAACCCTGGAGGAGATTGTCTATCATTCAATGCGATATAAAAGATTAGATAAACCATAGCTGTTCAAAAATCTTTTCCATGTTTCTAATTACACCCTGCCCCCCTCCAACTTGGCCTCACTATATAAAGTGGGTGCCTTATTTTCCAGCCGTTCTTTCCTCATCATGGTAATTATTCTGACGAATATCACTCTATGCCATGTAGAGTTTATTTTAAGCGCAGTATTTGTTTGGGGTAAAGGTCTAATCATTTTACAGCTGAAATTGCTAGATGCAGCCGTAAGTTCTATGCTAACAGTTTCTTCTATTGCACTTCTCACTTGCGGAACTATCTTCCGTCTTCTTTTGCCAAAATCAACATTGATCTTGAAAAATGTAAATGCAAAGTCAATCGTTATATTCTGTCTTCTTAATTCCTGTTTATTTTTCATGGTTCTCTCTCCTTAATCGTGTTTTTGTTCTCATATTCGCTAACACTAAGCAATCTCTTGCGTTTTAGTGGCTTTATTGCCTTGCTTGGGACGAAATGATTAAAAAGATGTGGCGGCAACATTTCTAATTTGATGCTTCTTGTATTTTTATCATATTTTCTTTGATTTCTAGTGTATACGCATTTCTTTCCGGGTTCCAACTAAAGACCTAAGTTCTGAAATGGAATCATGATATTTTCCACATAGAATTTTCTGAAAAAAAAACAAAAAAAAAGACAATATCAACCTTATTTTACAAAGATAAAACCGTTCGTAAGGTATGCGCTGTATTTGTGAATATAGTTTTTTTGTATTTCTTTAAGGCCTGAGCTACCAGGAATCCCTTCAAAAGGCTATTCGGATGTTTTCCAAAAATTCGACTATGTTCCACGTTGTATTTAGTTTTTTTAAAGATCTTCAAAGACACATTACAGTCTGGAGGGACTGCCATATTAATAAAGAGGCACATATTTTGCGGTCTCTAATCACAATGTCTGGGCTATTAGCTTTGATTTTTCTGACTCTGTGTATTGTAATGACCTATAAAATTGTTCCAAATCCTATATCCCTAACCGGGTCTGAGTGGTGATCATACCAATTTCGTGCAGTTCCATTACTATAAAATATGCATATATTAGCTAATCTGTCCTGCCGGGTTTCATATTCAGTGGATGCCAATATCACGCAGTATGATACAATATGATCAATTATTTCTGGATATTTATCACAGAATCTGCATTTTGGGCTAACATAAATTTTCAGTATGTGTGCTTCGTAATTTCAGGTAAATAAGCATTGGCCATGTGCAGCAACAATAAAACATTTTCATATCTCTTAATACTTTGCTTAGTTTCTGAAAGGCATGAAGAGAATGTTCAGCATTCACTGCCATAAAAGAGATTAGATATTATATAGCAGTTCAGCACTTTTTTCTTTATTTCTAACGAGAATTTCCCATCTCCTAATACTTTGCTTAGTTTCTGAAAGGTATGAAGATATTATCCAGCATTCTGTACTATATCAGAAATTAGATGTTACATATCAGTTCAGCACTCTTTCTTTGTTTCTGACGACATTTTCCTATCTCTTAATAATATGCTTATTTTCCGAAACCCTAGAATTCATTATCATATACGGAATTAGATGTTACATGCATTCGATTAATGTCAGCTATGGTCTAGTTAAAGATGTTGAAACTGTATTGCACCACAGCAACAACCATAGATTCCATAGCCAGAGAGTTTATGTATCAGCCGATTTCTGATGCCACATTTTGTCACCTTTGCTATATTTATAACAATGTTCATTGTAGTTAATTTATTATCTAGTACTTCGCGGATTCTGTGAGAAATGACAGTTAAGACCTCAGCTGTGGTATAGCATAGAGAAATCTATACTGTTTAATGCTCAGGTGTTTTTCTTTTTCTTTTGTAGAGGTGTTCTATAACATTCTTGCTGATGAATAGTACTA